ATCTGCTCACCACTCATTGCGTGCGTCTGTCGTGGCGCGTCTTCGTTAATTGATATAATGGCCTATATCAACCAATTAGGAACTACTCGTAAGTGCTGCAGAATATTTGTCCTTATGACAATATTCTGAGAATACAACTCTTATAGTTATATTCTATTAGCAATTTCTTATAAATTGTAATCTAACGATTCACCCCGTAACACCTCCCACCTTTTCATTTTCGTCTCACATGACCATGGAGCCCGCGACCGAGATCGTACGTCCACTGAACTCGCTTGACCTTCCTCCCCCAATCGATAACCAACAACTCGTTCCTCGTATCCCAGAGTCCCGTTCTGCACGAGAAGCTTGGCGACGTATTGAACAGGTACCATCCTCACGCTTTGCCGCCTTCTGCTTATGAACCTGCAGCTACTAACTGGCAAGCGACAGATACGACGCGTTGGAAGCCATTCTCGTGTGCACGTCCGAAGGCGTCCCGCTCCTCAAAGGTCGTCCACCTCTATAAAAGCTGCAGCTTGTATCTCTCGTACCAACATGTCGTTCCATGTGCTGGTGCAGTGGCTGCGGACGAATCGTCCGAGCTGACGCGCGAGTACACGGAGACGGTGCTGCCCACGGTCTTTGCGGGGGCGGCAGAGCAGGTGAGACCTAATGCAACTCAGTGGACGAGAAGGAGACGCACTGACAGACGCTGAATCAGGTTGGGAAGCTCAAGTTTGGGGCCGTGCAGAGCGTCACGGCCTTCTTCGACGACGTCGTGCTGATCCACGTCAACTACGTGCCGCTGGTGATCACGCTCGTGGCAGCAAACTCGCCGCAGATTGGAGCGCTCCACGCCCTGGCAGGTGAACTGCGCTCGGCACTCACGCCACTGAAACGGTGCGTGGAAAGCGCGGACGTACATTGAACCTGAACGTCTGCAAACGGCCCGTTCCACGATGTCGAGCATCTCGACGGAGCTGCGTCCATACCGAGTCGACGTAGCACGTTGTGTACTTCAACTATCATCACGGTCTGTTTGTTGATCGCCACACTGTAGAGGTCGCTTTATCCAGGCCTGCATCCATTAAAGACGCGTTGACGCAGTGAGCTTCTTCCCGCTTACCGTCATCGCCTGTGGCTTACCGGGATAGCTAGCGACAGTGATGGCAGCAGACGCGATATGTCCATCCTGTGGTGCTCTTTCTTGTAGACGAACGTCGTCAATATCATCACCACCGGCGTTTCTCGTCATGTGAACGAGCAGGTTCCTGCCGTTGCTGGGGCTCTGGCTCGGCGTACTGCTTGTTTCAGAACCGCTGTTCTCGGCAGAGAAGGAAGAGTCGGGATGGCCGAGTGTTCTGAGCCTGGATTTCAATGCTTCAGGCGCATCATCCTCGACCTCTCCCATAAGCGGCATCCTGTCAACGATCCTGTCCAGCTTCAACGTGTCTGCTGACGCCTTCTTGCTGCTCAGGACGTCGTGCTTCATGCACTCCCATTCCACCCGCACGAAATTCCAAATGATCCGACGGACGACCTCGGCGAGCTGCGAGACCATTTTGAAGTGCACTCCGCGATGCATCCAATCCCACCACTTGGTCACCCACATGATGCGCAGCGCAAAGTCCACTGCGATGATCAGGTAGTAAACCGTGTGTGGGCGGTACGTCAATTGGTGGCGCAAGAAGGCAACGCGTCGTGGCAGGTTGGGCTGCCCCAAGCCCCAGTCCATGACGACGTCCCAGAGGAAGGAGTAGAGCGAGTTGAACACGGCACAGAGCAGGAAGAAACTGCTGTGCTCCGGTCGTGGCAACCCCATGAGCATCGGGTGCGCGCCCACGGAGATGACCAACAAGCTCGAGCAGTACTTCATCGTGTTCAGCAAGTGGAGGAAGCGGTCGTTCGTGTGGGAAGTCCGCTGGAAGGAGATGAGACACTGCGTCGCCCGGAGTCTGCAGCAGCAGCACCACCACCACCACAAACAACAACAAGCACAAGCACACGACAGTTTCCAGTCAGAGAGGGACAGCTTCCTACCAAACCACCTCTCCATCACGTCCTCCTCGTCCTCTCTTCTCTTCTCTCCTCCTTCGTACTCACATGTAGGGGGAACTGGCTGCGAAATAGGGCAGCGGCGACTCCTTCAACTTGGACAGATACGACTCGTGCAGGTCCTTCGGCTCGTGTGTGAGCGACCGCAAGAGCAGCAAGAGCGCGACCGAGAGGTCCTGAATGAACTTGGACAGCGACGTCAGGCCGTCCGCCAGAAAGACGTCGCTGAACGGCGTAGCGCGCGCCGGGAGCTGCCGCCTCCCGCTCGGGAACGGCCACAGACAGCGCCTGAGTCTGCGCACGACGTAGCGCCGGAACGGGAGGTGGCAGACGTCCAGTGGACACAAGAGCAGCGCGGAGGCCACGACCACGTAGCTCAGGAGCAGCAGCTCCGTGTGCGTCTCGTCCTCGGTGACCGACCGCCCGCGTGTGGCTGCGAACCCGTTGAAGAGCACGAACTGGAGCAGGAGCAGCGAGAGCGCAGTCTGGGCGACGCCTCGAGCGCTCGGGACCTCGTCCGGCCGCATGTCCATGACGCGGTCAAAGGCCAAGCGCTGGAGGTGGAACACGTGGAGGTTGGCGGCGAGGCCCAAGAGGAAGAGGGAGGCGGCGAGAGGACCGACCATGAAGAACCACGTGGTGGCGTGGGACGGCGGCGGCGGCGGGAGCTGCTGCTCGGGCGGCGGCTCGAGCGCCATGGAAAGTGTAAATGCGGCTCAGAAGGTCGAGGCGATTGACGAGGCGGAAGGACAGGAGCGTGAGGGAGTGGAAACGTGAGTGAGTGAGGATGCCTGGAATGGTTCAGCCAAACAATGGGTCCCCTCCCTACGCTGGTTGTGGAGATGTAAACGTGTCCGTCCGAATGGCCCCTTTGCGAGGTCGATCGACTACCTACCTACCCGGCAGCTTCGACGCGCACTTGGCCGGCGTCGGCCTTGCCAATGAGCTCAATTAGACTCGCGTGGATGTCGCCTCTGCCGTTCGACGCCACGACGTTGCGCGTCGAGAGCGAGAACGATGCGCCGTCGCTGTTCGTCACGAGTCCTCCGGCCTCTGCCACCAACAGCGCGCCTGCTGCCACGTCCCACGAGTTCAGGTCCAGCTCGTAAAAGGCCTGCCACAAGGATGCAAGAGTCGAGGTGAGGGTCAGGACATGGGGGATACAGCCAAAGGCGTCAGCTTCTTCACGTCAGTTGCTGCTACGACTACTACTTCATTAGGGAGAGAGGTTGACGCACCGATTGACGGCCCGCAGCTGTCCAGGCGAGTTCAAGAGCCGCGGCTCCTTGCAGCCGCAACCCTCTGCAGCGGGCAGAGAACTCCCGTGCACAGTCGAGCATCGGGAGTCTCACGCTGGCCTTCGTGCCAATGCCAAAGCCCACCAAAGCATCAGCGAAGGACGTCTCGTCGCTCACGTGCATCGGGTGGCCGTTCAACGACGCGCCTTGTCCCCTTTGCGCACTGAAGAGCTCGTCCCGGTACGGATCGTAGACCACGCCCAGCACCACGTCGCCCCAATGGGCGCAGGCCACAGACACGACGCTCGCTGGTCGGTGGTGCACAAAGTTGGTGGTCCCGTCGATCGGGTCCACGATCCAGAGCCACTCTTTGCCCACTAGATCCTGTAGGGCTTGAGCTGAGGCTTCGCTCCCAGGTGCCACGTTCTCCTCCCCTAGGAACTCGTGGCTTGGAAACGACTCTTTGATCCGAGCAAACACGCGGTCCTGGCACTGCTGGTCCACGACTGTGACCAGATCGTGTTCGCACGACTTGGTCTTCTCGACGCGCGACGTGCTCAGCTGCGACTTCATGTGGGCACCAGCGTCACGTGCAGCTTCGATGGCAACGTCCAGCACTGCATGAAGGTCCGTGGGGACGGGGGTCGCCATACTGCCCGATATTGGGAATGCGTCCGTATCAACGGCTCTTTTGTTTCGTTGATATCGTCTCGTTGTTTGTTACTGTGTTGCACGTTTGGTTACGTACGATCGAGGGAGTTTAAACGAGGGTACATGGCAGGTAGACTGTTGCGTGTATCTTTCGTTAAAAATAGTTACGCCTTGCTTGTGATAGAGCTCCGACTGTCGGACCACGTTTTACTGGGTCGACCCGGTGTTAGACTTGGCTGATCTGGGTCCCAGGTCGGGTAAGGAGGGGTTACACATCGTAGGTTGCCGGGTAAGTATTTTTGCATGCCTTTTTTGTTCAGTGACTTTGTCCACCCTGCATTTTTTTAATTTGTATAGGGTCCCCCCACCAGCGAGGCAAAACTGGCGCTGTAGCCGCAACCATGCGTGGCGTCTGTCGCTAGGCTAAACATATCGAAACAGCGTCTAATTACGACCCGTAGAAGCCGAGATATTGTAAGTTTTAAGGGTGTTCGGACAATTTTGACCATGAGAGTAATGGTTCCCGATAATTAGATGCGGGAGCAAGCTCTGGAGCTTGCGGAGCATCGCACTTAGTGCAACTTGTAAATCCACCTGGTGAAATAGACACAATAACAAGATGAAATAATAAATCGTTCTCAAGCGACGTGTAAGATACAAAGCGATATTTACAGAAAGAGAGACAAACACACATAGATAAGTACGATTTAAAAAGCTCATCGTGCAGCTTGCGCACATTCACCAACAGCTTCACTCTTCAGGCTCGCAAATATTGTGCATCGCTGCTCAATTAGCATGACGGCATTCCATTCACTGCGCAAATTCACACTGTATTTCTTTGGATCAGAAAAGCGGCCCTTATGGATAACACGGACTTTACGCAGGATCAAATCCATAGAGTGTTCGCGTAGAATCCAGTGTGCGACTATATCCTTTAAACGCTTTAGCGTAGACCACTAACAAGACGCCAATTCAGTATGGGCAGATGATGAACGACATCAGGGCGACATGTACAATACTTCTCAAACCCAGCTAGTCTTACTTTGCCACTTACCAGGAACAGTCCAAGCCGCCATGGCTCGAGGTTTAGTCTTCGATCTTCTTGGTCGGATGCAAAGTAGTGCTTCGCAACTTCATCAAAGTGTGAACGAGCACCTGGGTGGGCTATCTTCGGGCGTGACAACAACTTCGAAGAAGACCTTCTCGACAGTCTCCTCAACCTGCCGTTTCCGCTCGACATTTGTTCAATGCCCATTGGGGGAGTCGGAGATGCCTTCAAAGTCAACCAAAGCCCTTACGTCCATGGTCAAATCCGGCAATTTTCTGCAGGGGCTGTCAATTGATGAAGTTACATTCCTTGTCCTGTCTTTTCTGGATGGCGCATCGTTATCGCGCGTTCAAGGAGTCAGCACGATCTGGCGCATTTTCATCCAGCAGTATCGAGAGCCTATCTATAGAGCTTTGATCCGAGGGAGTCAAGCTTGCGACCAGGCGATCAGCTCATCCTCGTCTTTTAAGTCGTATCTCTGTATGCTCCGATACGATCTGGACCGAGAGCTTACACACACGCTCGCTGTACACCCTACACATGAGATACTAGAGCACTACTGTAAGCTGACCACAGAGCACGGATTTGTGGCCATGTTCTGCGACATCATTGAGTTTCGCGATCCGGAGATTGCCCGTGCTGTGGCTCGTAAACGACAGAGTGCGCTCAGTACAGTGCTGACAGCTACACCAGATCATGTGATGAAGTTTCGCAAAGGTTCCAGATACGTTGGGCCGATAACTTTTGTGCCTATTGATAATCCGTTATGGCCAGAGTTTGATTTCTTACCTATTGATACGCCAGGATTTATGGGCTACGCCTTTGATCACGTCGTCATGGTTGAGGGTTATCAGACACTGAAAAACACGATCGTGAAGTCCATTTTGAAAGATCTCATGATCTTTGACACAGCTGCGAGCGCAGAAGCGTACGGAGACACCATAGGTCAAGCTCCGTACGCAGCAATACTCGAGGTCGAAGACGCTCGAGTACATTCCGTACAGCTGGAGAGGGACGACCAGCTTTCTTTTTCTTCACCGTTACGTCGGCACCTTGCAGACAAGTACCCTTTTGCTGAGCGTGTTCAGCGGCTTCAGGAAAAGATCAAAGCTGTGGGCGATTGCATTGCGGCTACAGCAAGCGGTATGGTATAGCAAATGGTATAGTCAACTACACACACCGACAGCCCAGTAGTAGGAGTTGTAGCTAACCAAATCAATGGCTTGAAGACCGACGGCTTCCGGTGTATTTTCTTTGATCGTCTGGCAACAGCAGCTGTCTAACATCCATTGACTTCAATTAAACCAAAGCCACCTATTCCCTCGTCGCAACACATTACGCTGTTTACGACTGGAGTTGGTGGAGCAGAGTCGCCGCACAGCCTGGTACTTATTGATGAAATTCTGCCGACCCTTCTGTCGCTCGATACATCTTTTCTTATGCAGCACGAAACTGATCGTATAAGTCTCTGCTTCTGTTCGTGGCTTTAACATCTAGTCGTGTATTTGTCCCGTCTTGCTTGATAAGCTTGCGGTTGTTACATGGAAAGCCGGATGGTGTTCATTATGCGTATTTAAACGTGCGAGTGCTCGTTATTAAGATGCACACGGATAGCTCATGTTTATACGCGAGTCAGCAATGCGCTTATCGCGCCACACACGCACAATTTCAGCTGAGTTGTGTTTCTAGATTATCGATTGTACGGACACGATGAAGCTTATACTGTACGTGCGATCCAGGTGAGCGATAGAGTTTGCGAAGGATGCATAATTCAAGTCTTATGCTTCCAGAAGTAATCAAGAAGACGCTGCTTGACCCCACTCGCAGCAATTTATGTCGGACACATTCGTCAAGCAATAGCCGACTGATCTTTCCGCTTTGCGTCATCAGCTACAATATTTAGCTTGTATGTATGTTCCGTCCTTCTGCCTGTGTGTGCGACAATAACATACATTGCCATGCGCAGCTTCAGCAATCATACCACTATACTGCTTACTAACTAACTTCATATGCTCCTTCTGCCGCGCATAAATCCTCTAGTGCTCGTGGCTTCCAGCGCAGCCATATAATCTGTCTAGTTAATTTAAGCTTGGTTCGCTACCATAGCCTTGACCACAATCCACACCTAATAGTGCATGAAAAACGCAAGCAAAGCTGGCACAACATTTAGCCATCCACTCTTGTGTGCAAGTTCGACCACACGACGCCAGATCTAGTACACGTACCTCCCAATTCGCGTGCTCGTGTGGTACTGAACTAGGATTCACAAGCAAGCTCTGAGCTCGCCCTGTGATACGAGTATTTCAGTCAAGGAAATTAACTCAAGTCCTTAATACACACGTACCCATTTGGGTTGTTAGCGGCTTGGGAATGGGTTGTTTTCTTTGTGATAAAATGCGAAAGTGCTGATGGATTTTTGCGTGTTAAAGCTATTTGTTAATGACGTTGATGCTCCCATGAAACGCGTGTGAGAAAAAGGAGCTAGAGGACGGTACTCCTCGGTAACACCTTGAAGAAAAGCGCGTGACAACAAGACCGTTAGGAAGACATGGACGATTTTGGTTTGTCATTGTTACAACAGATCCTTCAAGGATGGTACATACAGTCAATTTGAACGCGTTTGTTCACCAAGCATGAACATAGAGAGTTGCATAACTAACGACCGTTCGGACCTGGCAGCTCAACAAAAAAAGAAACATTATGAATTAGGCCACACACACTGCGTCGATGGCGTCTTATTTTAATATGAAACGTACGTTGATTTATCTGCGCTGACGATAGCGTACGGACAGTTAGATTGTAATCCTTTTGTGTGCATTTTCGATGAGTTGTTGTTTTGCCCTTAATTTTTAATTTTTTTTGGCTTAATTATGAGCGGCAGGTCAATGGTATCATTGTATCCCGAGCGACGCAATTGGTTTCCCACGATTATATGGACAGCATCGTGCTAGTGCCGTCCCCAGAACTTCCCCCTTTACAAAGCGTTTTGATTTGATAGATCGTCAATGGAGTGGCGTTTCGTCACAACGTTGTTTGCCATCATTCGGTCGAAAGCCTAAAGGGGGGGTATTAAATGTACCTTAAAAAGGCTGAAATAATGTGTAGCCGTTTTTCTGTCAGGCACTAGCAAAGTTTGCTAGGGATCTAATGCAGAACCCAAAAGTATCTACTTGCTGGAATCCTTTGGAATTCGAACGCGTAAATACATTGTAAAAGAGACAGAATGATCGACTTACGGAGTTTTTGGCCTTTAAATTTGCCACCTAATCTCACTGCATGGTACATTTGCAGTTCGGCTGACAGAGCAAGACCGCTATACGTTATGTACACCAATTTTACCAACACAGCATCGACTGAAAATAACGTAAAATAGGATGATCGCATATATGTACCGGCCCCAAGGGTAGTTATTATCAAAACTGCCATTGCTGCTTTTTTTCTCCGATCATTCTTATTGTTCAGCTCCTAGTTTCTACATTTTAGTGATGCAATATATATTTCGTTTACCATAATGATTGCAAATTGCTGGTAAATTCTCAGGTTTGTATCAACGTAATGGGTTAATAAGGTGACACTAATCTTTGTGCCTGCTATGCTTCGAACACCTACTACCTGGTCATGATCTTCAGACTGGAATGCATTTGACATCTTCTACATGGATCCTGATAATACCCGCGTAAAGAGGTCGGCGATTTATCCCTTATCAGCCAGGTCCTTGCTGCAGCTATACCCTAGCAGCAAATCGCGAGCTGTGAAACACTGCGAAAGCACGAGTACTCGAGACCAAATCTAACCTCTCAATTGTTACTAATAGTTCCCTGCACGGACTTTAGTACACGTAAACAAAATGTAAAAACGGGCACTAAATACAAGTAATGATGTTACAAGGTACACTGTAATAGGTAGCTTCATCTCTCCGCCGTAACCTCACGTTTGTATATTTCGATGCATTCACTTTTTTGAGCACTTCTACCTCCAGAATGTTCTCCACGAATCATCTGCACTTAAGCTCGATTCCCAGTTGAACCTAACATTAACAATTTTGTTTGCATTACATGCACGCCCTCGAAGCGTTATGTGGCATGCTGTTAAAAGAGGTCTGAATCAATAGTCACATCCTACATACTACGCGGGCATTTGTTGTTTAGAAGTTGAATGGTTTTTTTTATTGTCCAGTGTTGTTTATGGAAAATAGGGGATCTGGCCAGAGTGTAATAATCTCTACCACTCTACTCCTCACCTCACCGAACCACCCATCATGTTCTATAGCATGGGACAAGTCAATCAGCTTCACTCTGCTCCGTACTCGAAAACGCTTATATGGCGTTTCATCACACCGTTGGAATGTCTACAATTGAAGTTGATCAACTTAGAAATGTATGCGTTGCGGTAATTTCATGTCTACGTCAGTGCAATATTTCTCATCAACTTTTCTTATCTAGACCGGTATCTTCGATTCAAGAGGTCTATCCGCCCTTTGTTTTTATCAGAATGAATCTGAGAAGTGGCATCAGTTATTTGTCATGCCACGACATTTGCATAATAGATTGGACACGAAGAATGATGTCAAGAATATCGTAATTCTGGGCACATTTTCTTATTTTACATACTAACGTTTGTGTGACCAAAGTCGAAGTTGAATCATCACACTTCTACCTTGATACATTTCGGAATTCTTTCTAGTATAGACGCGACAGCTCCGCGTTGCTCCATTAACATCTTATACTTGCAAACACGTTCACGGCCTATTTGTGCATGTTGACCATAGCGTAGTCACGTTTCCCTCAGTTTTACCGATTCTATGTGCGACGCGATCTTTGCACGGCCCTAAAGAAATACTAACGGAAATGTTCCTGTTGGAGATGCAATCTCGAGTAAATGAAGTGCGGCTCTTCAGAAATGCTCACTCATCTAGCTTTTAACAAAGCAGATCATTGTGAGTGTCAATTGGTCACCTCTAAACTGACGTTCGTGAAGCAGCCGATACATGTACATCCACTTCTACCGCTTTATGTCCCGAAAAACATCAGACGTTGATCCTAAGGGAAACAAAGGTGCCACAAAGCTTAAAAATAAAATAGTCTTAGTGTGCATGTAAGCACTTATGAAGTAAAGCATTTTGTGGCAAACAGCACAGTCGGTAGCCACCCATGCAGGTATTTAAAGCTGGCGAATGGAAGCGAAACATTATCGATTAGCGCCAGCGCCACTTTATGTCCGTGAACTGGCCAAGCCAGTGGATCATTCATTGCAGTAGTCCAAATCGCTACAACAGATGAACGATAGTAACAACTAGTCCAAGTTTTTGTAGTGAAGATTTGACAGCAGGGGAACGTTTAATGTATCGTAGACTGGGTGCGATCGTGATGGCGCTGCGGCTAATCGGGAACACTGTTATCTTCATTTTAGGAGATTTGTCCAAATGAAATTGCGAACATCGTCGATGTAGTATAGATTCTTATATTTTGTACATACAATATCTCATTACGTAGATGACGGGCGATTCATTCTGTCCTCTTATTATGTATTTCAGCCATCTATCAATTTTTAATTATATCTCCGACACACATGCTCACAGGCACGAGTAGAAACATACAAGAGCACATGCATATCATAGCCAAGTACCGACACACTGAAGGATATACACTCATCACATACGTGCAGACAGAAATAACAAACAAAGAAACAGGTAGGTTCACGGAAACTCGACAGAAGAACACACTTGCAAAAGCATGTGCTCGTTGAAAAAACAGACAAACCTACAGATAATTTGTCGCTGATTACATCACAACGCTACGTAGAGTCAACCCACTAGTATTTATGGAAGTGTACAATATATTGTCCTATAAAATCGTATTTTGATCAAATGCTTTCATGATAGTGCTCACACCAAACTCATATGTACGATTTGTTAAATGGTTATGCTGTGGCAACGTGTGTAAGATTTACATTGCATTTAAAGTATAGATCATTTGACAATACAGTCATTCCCTGGATTACTCATAGGCCTGTTGAAATTTTTATGAATTAGCCGAGTCATAAGGTACGTATACTTCCGATATTTTTTGTCGCAAACACGAAATATCAGTAATGTCAAGGATACGAAAGTTAGCCAAAGTGATCTTGCAAATTGAGCTTACAGTAACTTTGCGTTTCGTGTACCCAAAATGTCATTACTCTCATAAACGAGATGTGCATTGATCTGGTTTCTATGGCAGATGACGAGCAATTTGCCAAAAGAAAGAGAGGTGCTCATAATTTAAATATAAAGTATGCCCTAGTAACTTGGGTGCGTCATTGCCAAACAGGGCATGCACTCAGAATTAGAAAACATACTAATGTCAAGGCCTAGGATTATTTTGAACGATTTAGCCTACCTTAAGACATCGTCAAGATTTTCAGTGGATAGATGCAGCGCTTCAGCAGATAAAATAAAAGAGTGGCTTCGGGAATTATGGGGAGAGTAGATTAGCAAGTAAAGGTTCATGCATGCGGCATTGCCTGAAATTAAAGCTGTAATCTCTCGCTAGGAGTCCTACGATGTTTACATCATGGACAAAACTAATGTGTGAGTACAAAAAAGCCTTTATTAAGGCTGATGTTGTACTTTACTGAAAACCATACAGGCCTATTTACAACATGATTTAGAGGATACAGTTTCAATGAAAGTGATCTAGGTATCACGAAATAGAATGTCAGACTCGATGGATCCACTAAATATATTTTGGAATTTGTTGTTCTTTGGTCAAACAATTTAATTTCTTATTTTATTATGGAACGGAGTCAATTGCCCTTACGGACAATGCGGATGGTACTTCAGATTTCCGACCGTATGGCTGCCACCACTCATAACCCATAGTTATTGCGCTCACTAGTTTAGTACACTCAGACACTTAGCCTCTCCTTAAATGTGCATTTTTATACAGGAACATGGTTTCCTTTGCTCGGACGTATTTTCGTACAATTGTTTTCTCCTCGAAGAACTCATAAACTTCCACTGATCATAGATCACGACTTATGAGTGAGTGACCATAGAATGAGTATGCTAAACAGATTTACATGAGTTGTACGAGTATGATTTAAAAGGCTATGAATAATTCGAGGTATGGATGTATTTAAGGATAATTGCAGTTTTTGACATCGCACGACTTGGCCAAGCATTTTTCTAGATCACTCGTTTGGTAAAGGAGATGGCACTCGGTTGATTGTGGGTCTGATCCTCGCCGTGTTTTAGTTACTCGCGGTTGACTATCTCCACCTGGTGCTGCGTAATCACCGGATCTTTAACCTCCTAAAGGTTACGCAACCCTCAATACGCGAACACCTTTATCTCTGCCTAGGAAAAACCTATATTATCTTAAGTGCAATAATATTACGACCCGCAGCAACCGAATATAGGAAACCTGGTTTAGTAAAGAAATAACAAGGAATTTGGGGATGAGAGACATCGGATTCTGATATCCTTTCGGTTTCTATTGCCTGCCGTTATCTCTCTTATCTAAAAGTAGCTCAAAAGTCTGCGTTTATACATTACAAAGTGCGAACATACCGATTTCTGGATCAAAATTTATGTGCTTAAATTCGTGATCTCGTAGGTATTTGCTGCATTGCCCTTGACCCTAAACCGATTTTTCAGTGTTTAGGCGATCCATGATCGCCTATAATTGGCTTACTTCGTATAAGATAAGTGGGCTCTACCCGATGATTTATTTTAAGTCGACGTCGCTAAAAAGTCACTGCCTATATACATCTGATAATGCGCCTGCATCTTCCTCCACGGATTTTGCAGCTAACTTTTGAACCGGCTGTCTTAGAGTAGGTAATTAAAGCTTAATGGTATTCGGAAAATCCTTCTGCTACGCTCTTCTTCGTCCTTTAATAAAGTCTCCTTAAGTTGAAGCAAACATGCGCCTTTTTTTAATGGTAGCTTCACCCAACAGTCACTGTACCCAGCAGTCGCCTATATCGTTTCAGCACTCCTTCTCAGGGTGTCTTTAGACCAAGATTGTTATCAAGCTTGCTAAATGTTGCCGTCGAGTAGCAAATGTCTTGTCGAGCACGTTTGCCCGCATCAACGTTAAATCGCAGTAGGCCACCTCAATTAAGCCTAATCATCTTAAACCCTTCACAAACTTTAGGCTCACTGCGATGTTTCCCACCTTCCAAATGGTCTTCGCCAATGATATTTTTGTCACCGCCTGATATTCGACACGTAGCACCATCAGAGTTTACACCTTCTTTTCAATCTCGTCAAGTAGTTCCCGCATTACCAGTAGCTTACTCGTCATCAACGATAAACCGACTAAAAACTCTGCTTTCATCTCAGAGATAGCTATGCTTTCTTGTTTCTTGCAAAAACATCCCACGATCATCCCAATCACGCAAAAAAGACACTCCACCACGATTTTTTTATCTTGTGATATGCTGTATAATCAGCGTCGCAGTAGCCTATCAGCAATGCCTCTCCTTCCTTGGTCTTATGACTGTCTTCATTTATCCGATGCGATAAAAACCAGCCTTAATGATATTTTGAGATCTGCTATCCCGTCGCCAATCACACTCACGTGAGGCATACGCCCGTCGGCTGGCTCTGTGCACGGCAAACACGATGTTATATCTTATGCAGCGTGTGTAACGGGGTCACACGCGGTCATTAAACCGGTTATGTTGTGCGACCACACCAAGTAAAGATCGGTGGATCTGAGTGGTACAGTCTTGGTACTACGTATTCACGGTAATACCGCACCATATTGGGTAAGGATAAGGGATAAGACATCTGTCATAGGATCGCAATCTGTTGGGCAAGGTTTTAGAGTTTTGTTACGATAATTAAAGAATAAATAAAGTTCAGTTTCCCTTTAGCGTTGGACGCTAGTGCCTAGTCAAGACATAACGTGTCGTAAGAGTGTTTTCCTTGTGAAGGCGCTTACTCTTGTTTAACCAGTAGCCTCTAGTTAGTATGTGATTCTGTGAATCGTAATCCCTTTGGAACCGGGATTGTTAAGCTTGTACGCTTGAGCGAATGTGTGTCGACGTTAGCTGTTATAACCAAGAGATTTTTTGAGTCGAAGACTTCCTATGTTAAATAGCGATAAGTAGCTCCGCTACACTATGAGTGAAGAATCGTAAAGCTCAAGGTCCTTGTTCTAGTGGACCGAACAATTTTGTGAATCCGCAGCACTTAGTGCTCAAGAGTAGCTACCTCAGGGAGGTGTTGCTAGATCTTAACGATTAACTATTCAAGACGCCTCGCAAGGCACGTGTCTTTGACAAGATCAAACGAGAACTGAACTTCATTTACGTTGAACTCTAAAGAATAGCTTAATCGTTATATTTCCTAATTAAGGCACTCATGTCCTATATTATTATCTTCAAGATCTTTTTTATCTTGTGGCTGACACCCATCAGCCCCTGCAGATTAATACGATATTTCATAACTTTTTTAGTGGGATACCATCCCGTGTTTCAAAGACACGGGGTGCCGAGCGACCCTCCGATGTGTAACCCTGTTACACCCGACCTGTGACCCGGATCAGCCGGGTCGACGCAGCAAAACGTGGTCCGAGAGTCGGAGCTCTATCGCAAGCAAGGCGTAACTATTTTTGACGAAAGATGCATGCAACAGTCACCTGCCATGTACCCTCGTTTAAACTCCCTCGATCGTACGTAACCAAACGTGCAACACAGTAACAAACAACGAGACGATATCAACGAAACAAAAGAGCCGTTGATACGGACGCATTCCCAATATCGGGCAGTATGGCGACCCCCGTCCCCACGGACCTTCATGCAGTGCTGGACGTTGCCATCGAAGCTGCACGTGACGCTGGTGCCCACATGAAGTCGCAGCTGAGCACGTCGCGCGTCGAGAAGACCAAGTCGTGCGAACACGATCTGGTTACAGTCGTGGACCAGCAGTGCCAGGACCGCGTGTTTGCTCGGATCAAAGAGTCGTTTCCAAGCCACGAGTTCCTAGGGGAGGAGAACGTGGCACCTGGGAGCGAAGCCTCAGCTCAAGCCCTACAGGATCTAGTGGGCAAAGAGTGGCTCTGGATCGTGGACCCGATCGACGGGACCACCAACTTTGTGCACCACCGACCAGCGAGCGTCGTGTCTGTGGCCTGCGCCCATTGGGGCGACGTGGTGCTGGGCGTGGTCTACGATCCGTACCGGGACGAGCTCTTCAGTGCGCAAAGGGGACAAGGCGCGTCGTTGAACGGCCACCCGATGCACGTGAGCGACGAGACGTCCTTCGCTGATGCTTTGGTGGGCTTTGGCATTGGCACGAAGGCCAGCGTGAGACTCCCGATGCTCGACTGTGCACGGGAGTTCTCTGCCCGCTGCAGAGGGTTGCGGCTGCAAGGAGCCGCGGCTCTTGAACTCGCCTGGACAGCTGCGGGCCGTCAATCGGTGCGTCAACCTCTCTCCCTAATGAAGTAGTAGTCGTAGCAGCAACTGACGCGAGGAAGCTGACGCCTTTGGCTGTATCCCCCGTGCCCTTACGTGTACCTCGACTCTTGCATCCTTGTGGCAGGCCTTTTACGAGCTGGACCTGAACTCGTGGGACGTGGCAGCAGGCGCGCTGTTGGTGGCAGAGGCCGGAGGACTCGTGACGAACAGCGACGGCGCATCGTTCTCGCTCTCGACGCGCAACGTCGTGGCGTCGAACGGCAGAGGCGACATCCACGCGAGTCTAATTGAGCTCATTGGCAAGGCCGACGCCGGCCAAGTGCGCGTCGAAGCTGCCGGGTAGGTAGGTAGTCGATCGACCTCGCAAAGGGGCCATTCGGACGGACACGTTTACATCTCCACAACCAGCGTAGGGAGGGGACCCATTGTTTGGCTGAACCATTCCAGGCATCCTCACTCACTCACGTTTCCACTCCCTCACGCTCCTGTCCTTCCGCCTCGTCAATCGCCTCGACCTTCTGAGCCGCATTTACACTTTCCATGGCGCTCGAGCCGCCGCCCGAGCAGCAGCTCCCGCCGCCGCCGCCGTCCCACGCCACCACGTGGTTCTTCATGGTCGGTCCTCTCGCCGCCTCCCTCTTCCTCTTGGGCCTCGCCGCCAACCTCCACGTGTTCCACCTCCAGCGCTTGGCCTTTGACCGCGTCATGGACATGCGGCCGGACGAGGTCCCGAGCGCTCGAGGCGTCGCCCAGACTGCGCTCTCGCTGCTCCTGCTCCAGTTCGTGCTCTTCAACGGGTTCGCAGCCACACGCGGGCGGTCGGTCACCGAGGACGAGACGCACACGGAGCTGCTGCTCCTGAGCTACGTGGTCGTGGCCTCCGCGCTGCTCTTGTGTCCACTGGACGTCTGCCACCTCCCGTTCCGGCGCTACGTCGTGCGCAGACTCAGGCGCTGTCTGTGGCCGTTCCCGAGCGGGAGGCGGCAGCTCCCGGCGCGCGCTACGCCGTTCAGCGACGTCTTTCTGGCGGACGGCCTGACGTCGCTGTCCAAGTTCATTCAGGACCTCTCGGTCGCGCTCTTGCTGCTCTTGCGGTCGCTCACACACGAGCCGAAGGACCTGCACGAGTCGTATCTGTCCAAGTTGAAGGAGTCGCCGCTGCCCTATTTCGCAGCCAGTTCCCCCTACATGTGAGTACGAAGGAGGAGAGAAGAGAAGAGAGGACGAGGAGGACGTGATGGAGAGGTGGTTTGGTAGGAAGCTGTCCCTCTCTGACTGGAAACTGTCGTGTGCTTGTGCTTGTTGTTGTCGTTGTTGGTGGTGGTGCTGCTGCTGCAGACTCCGGGCGACGCAGTGTCTCATCTCCTTCCAGCGGACTTCCCACACGAACGACCGCTTCCTCCACTTGCTGAACACGATGAAGTACTGCTCGAGCTTGTTGGTCATCTCCGTGGGCGCGCACCCGATGCTCATGGGGTTGCCACGACCGGAGCACAGCAGTTTCTTCCTGCTCTGTGCCGTGTTCAACTCGCTCTACTCCTTCCTCTGGGACGTCGTCATGGACTGGGGCTTGGGGCAGCCCAACCTGCCACGACGCGTTGCCTTCTTGCGCCACCAATTGACGTACCGCCCACACACGGTTTACTACCTGATCATCGCAGTGGACTTTGCGCTGCGCATTATGTGGGTGACGAAGTGGTGGGATTGGATGCATCGCGGAGTGCACTTCAAAATGGTCTCGCAGCTCGCCGAGGTCGTCCGTCGGATCATTTGGAATTTCGTGCGGGTGGAATGGGAGTGCATGAAGCACGACGTCCTGAGCAGCAAGAAGGCGTCAGCAGACACGTTGAAGCTGGACGGGATCGTTGACAGGATGCCGCTTATGGGAGAGGTCGAGGATGATGCGCCTGAAGCATTGAAATCCAGGCTCAGAACACTCGGCCATCCCGACTCTTCCTTCTCTGCCGAGAACAGCGGTTCTGAAACAAGCAGTACGCCGAGCCAGAGCCCCAGCAACGGCAGGAACCTGCTCGTTCACATGACGAGAAACGCCGGTGGTGATGATATTGACGACGTTCGTCTACAAGAAAGAGCACCACAGGATGGACATATCGCGTCTGCTGCCATCACTGTCGCTAGCTATCCCGGTAAGCCACAGGCGATGACGGTAAGCGGGAAGAAGCTCACTGCGTCAACGCGTCTTTAATGGATGCAGGCCTGGATAAAGCGACCTCTACAGTGTGGCGATCAACAAACAGACCGTGATGATAGTTGAAGTACACAACGTGCTACGTCGACTCGGTATGGACGCAGCTCCGTCGAGATGCTCGACATCGTGGAACGGGCCGTTTGCAGACGTTCAGGTTCAATGTACGTCCGCGCTTTCCACGCACCGTTTCAGTGGCGTGAGTGCCGAGCGCAGTTCACCTGCCAGGGCGTGGAGCGCTCCAATCTGCGGCGAGTTTGCTGCCACGAGCGTGATCACCAGCGGCACGTAGTTGACGTGGATCAGCACGACGTCGTCGAAGAAGGCCGTGACGCTCTGCACGGCCCCAAACTTGAGCTTCCCAACCTGATTCAGCGTCTGTCAGTGCGTCTCCTTCTCGTCCACTGAGTTGCATTAGGTCTCACCTGCTCTGCTGCCCCAGCAAAGACTGTGGGAAGCACCGTCTCCGTGTACTCGCGCGTCAGCTCGGACGATTCGTCCGCAGCCACTGCACCAGCACATGGAACGACATGTTGGTACGAGAGATACAAGCTGCAGCTTTTATAGAGGTGGACGACCTTTGAGGAGCGGGACGCCTTCGGACGTGCACACGAGAATGGCTTCCAACGCGTCGTATCTGTCGCTTGCCAGTTAGTAGCTGCAGGTGCATGAGCAGAAGGCGGCAAAGCGTGAGGATGGTACCTGTTCAATACGTCGCCAAGCTTCTCGTGCAGAACGGGACTCTGGGATACGAGGAACGAGTTGTTGGTTATCGATTGGGGGAGGAAGGTCAAGCGAGTTCAGTGGACGTACGATCTCGGTCGCGGGCTCCATGGTCATGTGAGACGAAAATGAAAAGGTGGGAGGTGTTAGAGCAGGGGTACGTGGAATAGATTCGATTGTCGCTGATTCACGGGAATTAACGTCGTACGTGACTCTGTAAATCGTTAACTGGCGGTTGATAGAGTTGACTCGAGCAAATAGCGTGACTAAATGCTGCGGACTAAATTCGATCCGACGCAATTATTTGAGCAGTGAACTTCATTACATGTGCAATGCTCGAGCCACTGGCATGACGCATTAAAGTTATGCGAAACGAATTGCGGTATGTGTGTCGTGCGTGCGACTTGGTAAAAATCTGTATGGCAATTACAATGTTTTGGAATCTCGCGAATGCGCTACATTTCTATTCCTATAAAGTCATAGCTGCTCGTTAAAAATAGAGCGTCTAGCAGCAAAAGTTGAAGCAAATATTTTCATCTTAATCGGTACCTGGCAGCCAATGTCCAAGCGATGTGAAGGATAAGTCGCTGTGCTAAGGCGCATCTCTGTGCCATTTTTTTTTTACGTATACGCTTCATCTCATCTTTTTGTATGATGTACGGAAAAAGATGATAGCAGTGCAACGACCAAACGTTACAGTATTCTTCAGCGGCGAGCAAGCGGAAGTCAAATGGCGCTTACTTTCATCAGCAAAAAGTACCTGACTTCTTGGCTCACTTGAATGACGATGGTGAAGGCAAACACGTACATAGAGCGAATACCAACAAGCTGCATTCAGCCAAGCATAAGGCAAATATGCATCTGCAAACGGAAGCTTGCCAATCTACAATGCCTTACATAATGCTCTTGGAAGAAGATGTAGATCGACCGGGTGTATCAGGTATCGAGTCCCATCGACCTGACAATAGCAGGTTTTGCACTATGGAAAGACTTTGTCGTCTGACGGATGGCGCATTCTTATTACATCATGCTAGCAAAGAATGCTTGTCACAACGTCATCGTATTCTGCTACTTCTACCGTGGTTGTGACGCCGCAATCTGCAGTGCCTTCAAAATGTTGTTCAATCAATCGTTCCTTCACAGTGTATTAGAAAAACGTTGAGCCAAAAGCGCCACTTTTAGTCACTCATTCCAATTTAACGCTAGCTGATTAGTACAACCACATCAAATGATGCAACTCGTCCTCCTCCCCACGCGGTAACACCACATCCAAATGTGATACTTTTCGGAATTAAGCGTAGATAAGTGGCTACTCGTCACATGCGGATTTGGCGAGCTCACCTCTCCCTCATAACCCTTCTTGTAACGGGGTGAATCGTTACATAACAATTTATAAGAAATTGTTAATAGAATATAACTATAAGAGTTATATTCTCAGAATATTGTCATAAGGACAAATATTCTGTAGCACTTACGAGTAGTTCCTAATTGGTTGATAAAGGCCATTATATCAACCAACGAAGACGCGCCACGACAGACGCACGCAATGAGTGGTGAGCAGATAATTGATTTACACATTTGTATTTAGACATAGTTAGATGAAGATAAATAGTGATTTATTGCAGACATTAACTATACTAAATACAGTTCTACTTTTTACTTTAACCAAGTACTCGCTTCTTCTTACCGTCTTCCTCTGCACGTACGAGTGTACGTGAAGTTACGAGGCACCGCCTTATTCTGTCATCAGAATAAGTAGCTTGTACTGTCACCAGTACAAGCTTCAGGGTGCTCCGTTACAGGAGGTGTTAGAGCAGAGGTACGTTGAATAGATTCGATTGTCGCTTATTCACGGGAATTAACGTAGTACGTGACTCTGTTAACTGTTAACTGGCCGCTGATAGAGTTGACTCGAACTAACAACGTGACTACTCGCTGCGGTCTAAATTCGATCCGACGCAATTATTTGAGCAGTGAACTTCATTACATGTGCAATGCTCGAGCCACTGGCATGACGCATTAAAGTTATGCGAAACGAATTGCGGTATGTGTGTCGTGCGTGCGACTTGGTAAAAATCTGTATGGCAATTACAATGTTTTGGAATCTCGCGAATGCGCTACATTTCTATTCCTATAAAGTCATAGCTGCTCGTTAAAAATAGAGCGTCTAGCAGCAAAAGTTGAAGCAAATATTTTCATCTTAATCGGTACCTGGCAGCCAATGTCCAAGCGATGTGAAGGATAAGTCGCTGTGCTAAGGCGCATCTCTGTGCCATTTTTTTTTTACGTATACGCTTCATCTCATCTTTTTGTATGATTTACGGAAAAAGATGATAGCAGTGCAACGACCAAACGTTACAGTATTCTTCAGCGGCGAGCAAGCGGAAGTCAAATGGCGCTTACTTTCATCAGCAAAAAGTACCTGACTTCTTGGCTCACTTGAATGACGATGGTGAAGGCAAACACGTACATAGAGCGAATACCAACAAGCTGCATTCAGCCAAGCATAAGGCAAATATGCATCTGCAAACGGAAGCTTGCCAATCTACAATGCCTTACATAATGCTCTTGGAAGAAGATGTAGATCGACCGGGTGTATCAGGTATCGAGTCCCATCGACCTGACAATAGCAGGTTTTGCACTATGGAAAGACTTTGTCGTCTGACGGATGGCGCATTCTTATTACATCATGCTAGCAAAGAATGCTTGTCACAACGTCATCGTATTCTGCTACTTCTACCGTGGTTGTGACGCCGCAATCTGCAGTGCCTTCAAAATGTTGTTCAATCAATCGTTCCTTCACAGTGTATTAGAAAAACGTTGAGCCAAAAGCGCCACTTTTAGTCACTCATTCCAATTTAACGCTAGCTGATTAGTACAACCACATCAAATGATGCAACTCGTCCTCCTCCCCACGCGGTAACACCACATCCAAATGTGATACTTTTCGGAATTAAGCGTAGATAAGTGGCTACTCGTCACATGCGGATTTGGCGAGCTCACCTCTCCCTCATAACCCTTCTTGTAACGGGGTGAATCGTTACATAACAATTTATAAGAAATTGTTAATAGAATATAACTATAAGAGTTATATTCTCAGAATATTGTCATAAGGACAAATATTCTGTAGCACTTACGAGTAGTTCCTAATTGGTTGATAAAGGCCATTATATCAACCAACGAAGACGCGCCACGACAGACGCACGCAATGAGTGGTGAGCAGATAATTGATTTACACATTTGTATTTAGACATAGTTAGATGAAGATAAATAGTGATTTATTGCAGACATTAACTATACTAAATACAGTTCTACTTTTACTTTAACCAAGTACTCGCTTCTTCTTACCGTCTTCCTCTGCACGTACGAGTGTACGTGAAGTTACGAGGCACCGCCTTATTCTGTCATCAGAATAAGTAGCTTGTACTGTCACCAGTACAAGCTTCAGGGTGCCCCGTTACACCTGGTAGCACTTCGTAGTCCGTCCAAGGACCGCGTTCACATCCAACATGAATATGTTGGATGATGAAGATGACCAAAGCTTTCACGCTACGCGTGACGGCTACTCCCATTTGAGCGATGTCGAATGGGATGCGGTTGAACGAATGGGTTCGACCATGGGCATCCATGCTGTTAGCGTCATGCTAGAGGCTCTCAATAGAGATGCCCAACATGCTACTATCGCCAAGTTCATTCAAAATGAACTTGACGCTGAACGCGAGAAAGTAGCCTTGCTTCACCAACAAGGTTCTCAACAAGCAGAGTTGTTGAGAGAACAGGGTGCTCAACAGTTTGAACTGTTGAGACAGCAGCAGGCTGCTGCTGGCGGGTCGATGCACTCGCGTCGACCCGAGACTTTGAAGATTGACATCTCCAAGTATAGGGGGGTCGAAGAGGACTCCCTCTTGAGATGGTTCGTCGAATTGGACGACGCCATAAGGGCGCGTCGCATCGACGATGGGGATATGCAAGTTGCATTTGCCCAGTCAAATCTGGCAGGACGTGCCAAGACTTGGGCACTGGGGCTCAAGTTGCACGACCCATATGCGTTTGGGTCGTTAGAAGCCTTCAAGTCGCGGCTCAGACAAACGTTTGAACCGCCTAGAGCTGAGTTCAGGGCTCGAACCGAACTCTTGAAGCTCAAACAGGGTAAGCGTGATGTGCACGCTTACGCCCAACATATACGACATCTCACGAGTTGTATAAGTTCCAATCCGGTGGATGAACACACGTTGGTTTCGGTGTTCATGCAGGGTCTTGCGGATGGTCCCGTCAAGACTCACCTGTTCCGACTTGAATTGGATTCACTAGAACAAGCCATTTCCATTGCGGAACAGGAAGACTTCAGTCTGAGACAGGCTCGCGCCAGCTCGACATCATATCGTCAACCGAGACGATATGACAACGGAGGTCCAGAGCCGATGGAACTCTGTTATGTAGAGAGCGAGAAGGCTCGCTCTACAGGCTACAAGAAGTTGCAGAGATGCAACAGATGTCAAAAGACAGGACACTACGCTTACGAGTGTAGTGCCCCTCGTCCAGTGTCTCGCGACACTGGGCGTAGTGACCGTCCACCCATGAGAAAGGGGCAGGGACGAGGGTCCGCAGTTGGTGCAAAGACGCAACAACGGGATGGACCGTCAAAAAACGGACAGGATCAGTAGGTGCGGAGCACCCTACTGGTCCAGCAACGTCAAGAGAATTTGTAGGCCTCTTGATGAAGGTTGCTCCCAACACACAAACGTTGTGCGTTGCTGCTCTAGGTAATGAGGTCTCACTCATTACCTTGAAACTCGAAGTGACAAATAAGTTGTCCCTTCGAGCTCTAGTCGATTGTGGGGCGTCTAACAATTTTGTGCGACGCCAATCGCTAGAAGATGGTCACTTTAAATTCAGTGAATGTGACACACCTCCTACGAGGATGACGGTACGTCTTGCGACAGGCGCATCCGTAACCGTCATGAAGCGTATAGTGAAGATCCACTATACGCTAGAAGATACCCAATCTGACGATGACTTTATCGTTTTGGATTTGGATGACAAATTTGATGTCATCCTTGGAATACCGTGGCTCAGAAGGTACGAACCACGAGTAAACTGGCAACATCGAACAGTAA